CTCAGTTCTGAGTACTAAATTAAGTACATTTGCGTCGTTTTGAAAAACAGAAAATTTAATGAGAAATGTCTTGCATGTATATGTATGGAAATTTTGCATCGAACAAGCATGCAAGCATTGCAAATCATGTTTTCTAGTGAAATTTCAAAGCTCATGTTGCTTGTGAAAATAGAGCCATAAAACCTTTAAACTAGAGCAAAAAAGCCGCCTGAAAATAGAGTAGGCTAATTATATAGGCTTATATATAGCCTTTATAAATTTTATGTGCTCACATGCTCTTTTTATTTCTGTTTATAGATTGGCAGTTTAGTTGCTACCTATAATATTTTAGATTCATTCAAAAAGCGCGTGAAATGTGTTTATCTATTTATCTATTGTTGTTGTCCACGAAAGTAATAAAATATAAGTCTTTATAACCTATATATGGGTTAAATTTTATATTTCAATAATCACATGCATGGTATACAAAGAATTATCACATATAACAGGATATGATTATTTCCGCATACTGCTGGACTTCCGCTTCTGTGTGTGACCTTGTTTGGGCCCCACACAGAGTTCATAATTGCATGGTTACAACTTGCATGGTTCTTGGTCACCGAAGCCGACTGCTTTCGCCATATCATCGTTGCCTAGTTACGGCAAACATTGACATGTTTTACACAATCCTACAAGACCTAAATTATACAGTAAGCTTTGTATGATATAATTTCCTTTTCGAAACTACGGTTCAAAATTGAAGTTAAATCCGTTATTTTTCCACCGAAAGGCCATGCATGCATGAATCCGCTGATAGCGTAAGTGACTTTCGCTTCTGTGTCATTCTGTGACCAGGTTTCGATCTATTAAAATTTAGTTTCTATTAAAACGCAATTTTTTATCATTATGTTCAGTTGCGTCTCATTTCCATAGATGTGAGAAGATTGCTTGAAAAAAAAATAATTTGTGTCTGATAAAAACTGATAAAGCTATTCAATATTCAGTATGAATAATAAATAGAGGATATTTTTATCTTCAAGTGGTGAAAGACTTTTATAAATAAATAGCGGAGACTTTTATCTTCGAGTGGTGAAAACATTATTTTACGAACGAGTGCAATATCTTCAAGCCACCGTGTAATGTTCTGTTTATTATATAGTCCCAAGCAAAAAATTGTGAAATTTCACGCGAAAAATTGTGAAAAAGTCACGCGAAAATATCTCACTGTGTAATTTTCAGTATCTCACTCTCTACTATATAATAATTAAAGTTATTTTGGTTTAGGTTTGCTCATGTAGTATAACACTGGATCAATTTAATAAGAGATTATTTGCCCTTATTGGACCTTTAGGGAGAACAATATAAGCCCCCCGAATATAAGCCCCCCCCCCCCGTGTATAAGCCCACTTGTTTATCACTATTGTTTATCACTATTACCACTATTAATCACTATTATTGCTATGCTTAACACTTGTTTATCACCCCCCCCCCCGTATATAAGCCCACCCTTGTATAAGCCCATCAAAAATCGTCTAGGAAAGAATAGCCCAGGGATCAATAAGAGGTGATCCTTACTGGACTTCTAGTGAGAACAGTTTAGAACGGATAGAGCTATCCATGCAGTACAATAAAATTATAGTTTAGTTTAGGTTTCCTCCTGTAGTAACACTGAATCAATACTGGATCTGGCGTCCTCCAGGAAGAACAACTTAGAATTGATAGAGCTCAGTATTGGTGTATACTTTACATTAAATAAACTCCTTTGAGACAAAGGAATGATTGGAAAAATTTTCTAATCTTTCTGTCTGTTTCTAATTTTCTAATCCTTCTGTTTCTAATCTGGCTTCTAATCTTTTAACGTTTTCGCAAGATTGAAAATAGAATTATCTGATATTAAATCGCATGTGGTGCATTAAAATTAAAATATAGGAAAAAGGAAATTCATTTGCGCTAATCGTTCAAGTTGTTTCGAACAACGCTTTAAGTAAATTGTCATGAGCAAAACGTATGGTAACGGCATAACTTCTAGTCTTTTCTGAAAGTCCGACTATATATAATTTAGTTCCTCTAACGAAGTGCAATAGGACTGGTAAAATACTATAATTCACGATCCCCGCCTGGATTTGCTCAACCTTAAATTTTGTTCGTATTCAGGCAATTATGGAAATTATACATCCTTGTGAGTTTCTCGTTGAAATACTTTGCTTAAAGCAAAGCTACGATGAAGATCAGTTCAGGTGCAGCTAATCTCAACCCATCCTGTCAACATTCCCTGTGGGAGGCAACGGGAGTACAGGGGGGAAGCCACGACTTTCGCTAGAGCGTTCTGCAGCGTTGCCGTTGGCTAAGTCTTTTCACCACATAAGTGTCATGCAAGGGTGGGTAGTAGCGAAGTAGTTGTAGTTCGTTACTGTAGCGAACTACAATTTCCAAGTAGCCAGTAGTTTTTTACTACTTTTTTAAAACAGTAAGTGTAGTTATAGCGAACTAAATTTTGTCTAAAAGTAGCCAAGTGAGTTGACTACTTTTCAAACAGCGAATCGCCATTCACTATACTTTTTAAAATTGTTAGCAATTTGATAGAATAGCATGATATTGAGACACGGTTATCTTAAAATCAATAGTCAATTTGCACTCCTGAACACTGTAGTGCTTACAAAAATGTTGCTTTGTGTTTACTGTTGCTATTCGTAAGTCGATTTGGTTACATTACAGCCTGAGTTAGTAGATGCTCCAAATACAGTAAAACTAAAAAATATAGCGTAGCGAAATAGCGCGAAATAATTCGCTACATTTTTTAAGCAGTAGCTGTAGTCAATAGGGAACTACCTTTGTTCAAAAGTAGCAGTAGTTGTAGCTGACTACATATTTTTGAAGTAGCTGTAGTTATAGCAAACTACCAAAATTTTTTACTGCAAGAATCGAACCCACGATCTCAGAGGGTCTCAGAGGTGAAAGGCCCTTGCTCTGTCTAGTTCGATCACCTTTATACTGTGTATGATGGTAATGAAATTTATATCATAGAATAATCAGCATATGGTAATATTAAAAGTTGAAATTAATAATGGTCAGTGCAGATGCTTGTGAGTCCAATACTCAACAGCCATACCGGCGAGCCAGCTAGGTACCCGAAAAATCCTCGGCGTTAATTTTTAATATTGCAATGGCTTTTAACACCTTGTTATGTAAATTTCTTTTTATCTAGAATTTGGCTTTGAAGATTTTTTGGACATGTATTTATTAACGCAGCGACGGGGATTCTAACAGCTCAGGCGAGTAACGATAATTACATTACGTACTGACGGTACTGTTTAATAAACGAGCAGGAGTGTTTTATTAGGTTTAAAGCCACGAGCGCGCAACGCGAGTGACTTTAGACCTAATAAAACACGACCTGCGAGTTTATTAAACTTAACGGCTTCAAACACGACTACAAATTCAATAGATATACTGCCTTGTTAGTATTCTTTATATAAAGAATACTAATGAGAACACGACTACGATAGATACTGCCTTATTATAGTATTCTTTATATAAAGAATATTAATTAGGAGTGTTTTATCAGGTTTAAAGCCACTGCACGTGACATATTATGGTTGACATGATTTGCCAATAAACTTATGAATTATTGAGTGTTTGAAAGTATTATAATCTACTAACCAGCTTGCATTATTATGTGTTCTATATACTGTATGTTTATATTTCTTTTTACACTAACACAACACAACTTATATTTGAGAACTGTAAGATAATTGATAGATCTGATCACTGGTCTCTACTATTATATAAAGAATCCCTTGCAATTCGCAGAAGGAAACCAGAACTCAACCACGGCGCCAAAGCTTCAAAAGAACTGATCATATTTCAGTGACACTATTAAGCTCCTCCTCCTTAACTATATATATATCAATATTTGTAACATTACACTAATCTGTCCTGATGATGACTAAAATATAGTCGAAACGTAGATTCATTAAAGCTACAAAATGTTATTTGGAGTTACTGTCCTTTTGTATTTTGTAAAAATACTCAGTGGTTCCCGTAACTATCACAATCTCGTACCCAGAGTATGCCCGTTCGCAGGTTAGGTGCTGGGCAACAATTGTTAACATCAAATGTTGTCCGTATGTAAGCCCCGCCCCCCCCCCGTCATGTTTTAGCCAGCGAAGACTGCATACCTGAGGCGAATTAAGTTATGTATCTAATTACCAATCTCGTTCCCTGAGCCTGCGATCCTCGGGAAGGAACGTGAGTCTCTGGGATAATCCGTTGCTGGAAGCCAGGAGTCCTGGCTAAGATTGAACTACGCATTCCATCTCAACGGCCAATCAGATTCCTCCCTGAAATGGATTATCCCAGAGCCTCGCATTCCTTCCCGAGGATCGCAGGCTCGGGGAACAAGATTGTCCAATTACCTCGATCGTACCCACTACGCGCCTCGTTGAAAGAGCCTGGTTAAATATACATTCTATGCTCAGTATCCCCAGAGCATACTTTTCATCGTAGCGACCTTGGCTACAGCGTAAAAATCACATTCTTGTGTTGTAAAACAGAATCAAGAATATATAGCGCCGAAACTGACTACACAAAGTTGCAAGTTGGAGATATTTTTATAAAGAAATGATGAAAATTAAAAGATGAAACTTACCGAACACAAAATCATGCACATAAAACATATTTGGGATGAATTTGTCATGAAAAGAATTTAGTATTTGCATACATACAACAAAAACTATTCCAAACGTAGTCGGTACTTCGTCGTCAAGATCTTAAACTCCCTAATAACACGGTGGAGGGGGAGGGAGGGTTGACAAGGCGTGGAGGGTGAAACATGATCAATATGGAAATTTCCAGTATCTAGTAATTCTTCAGTTAGTGTTAACTTAATTAACTTTAAATAAAAGACCAGTCAAATTTATGTCCGTTGTCGTCTGTGTGTTTAGCTGGAAGTGAGCTATGGGCGTGTCTGTTGACTGCGTTTTGGTGTTCTGTTAGTCTTGTCTGAATCGTTTTAGATGTTTGTCCAATGTACTAGAGTTTTTGCAAGGGAACATATGATACAAATGATTAATTAGGCATGGGGCCTAGTAAAATTAATCATTTGTATCATATGTTCCCTTGCAAAAACTCTAGTACATTGGACAAACATCTAAAACGATTCAGACAAGAGAAAGATTAGTATAGACTAATCCTTCTCGGATGAAGACTCGAAGTATCGAGTCGAAAGCCGCTCAAAAACAGATAATTTTATCCGGAGAACGCTGTATAATTTGTAAAAATTATAGTTTAATATAATGCCTGGATTACAAATCGTCAAGTTTATTTGATATACATATAACGAATAGTGAATAATTATTTATTTTGCCACTAATAAAAATTACATAATTATGTTTACAATCGTGTGTGAGATTTAATTACATTTAATCAAGTACAAGTAAATATTTTAAATTTATATTGTCATGCAGTTTAAATTAGATCTAGATATAAATTAATTTGAGATTAGAGTTTGAAATTGAAATACACTCAATAGTCAGGCAGATAGAAGAAAAAAAATCACCATATCGATGGGCAATTCCATTTTTTTTCATCTTGTGCCCTGAAGGCTAGTAAGTACATTTCTGTATGTTGGCGACGTTAAAATATCGTATAGGCTCTTGCCGTCATGTTATTCTTCGAATTTTCTATTGAACTCTATTACAGTTAAAAAGTGAAAATCAACTACTGCTATTGACAAGGTTAACGTCATTAAATAAAATTTTACATGCATGCATGTAAATACTAATGACTTAGAAAGCTTACAGAAAACTACATATAAGACATTTAAATAAAGTGGTTTTCGAGTTATTGCTGTTCCAAATGTGAAAAATAAGCCAAAAAATAACAGTCTGAAAACACTCTTTCGACAGCCCATAACTGAAGAAGAACTTGAAAACCCTGGTAACCATTTAAATGTCTTATATATATAGTTTATTGCAAGCAGTCAAATGATCATTTAAGTCATTTTTGTTAGAAATCTATTTGAAATTTCACATTTTTAAATTAACTGTAGTAGAGTTTAATACAAAGTTCGAAGAAAAACGTGTCGGCAGGAGCCCACAAGAAATTTTAACGCCGTCGACATACAGAATACTTACTCGCCTTCAGGGTACAATATGAACGCAAAATGGAATGGACCTATTCCCTAATGAACAAAATTTTGATCTAGAGACGTCTAGACAAACATTTCATCACAGCTTGAAAGAGCATCACAAAATTAGTAATATTCTGAAGTTTCGTTGCGAAATGTTGTAAAATGCGGATAATATAGCCCTGTGAAGTTTGCCGTTTTCAGTCATTTTGTATTACGCACAGGAAATTGATACCGCCTTCTGAAAAAAAGGTATCAATTTCCCGTGCGTAATACAAAATGACTGAAAAACGGCAAACTTCGCAGGGCTATATTATCCGCATTTTACAACATTTCGCAACGAAACTTCGGAATATCACTAATTTTGTGATGCTCTTTCAAGCTGTGATGAATTTTTTGTCTAGACTTGTCTAGATCAAAATTTTGTTCATCAGGTAATAGGTCCATATTGCCCCTCGATAAGGTATAAGTTTACCATAATTTTTGTTTCTCTGTCTGGCTGAGTGGCTATACAAGTCCAAGTTCAATAATTATTTAGAAGATGCTTTGTAAACATAAGCGACTGGTAACTTCACCTGCGTCTTCACCCAAACATGTTCCCATGTTTTCTTGTCACATCTTCTTTCGAGCACCATATGCCAGTATCCTCTCGCTGTACAATCAGGCGGACAGTTGCTGCATTCTGCCTTGGCCAGTGTACTGGGGATTCTATTCGCGTCGTAGTCGTTGACGTAGGTCCAGCGACAGTTACCTTTACTCGGATAGCCGGTCGGATCCTTGGATCCCGTTGGGGAAACTTGGAATTTTATCAAAAGATCATAGCGTTTTCGTAGGTATTGAACGGTTGGAGGACGTTGTGTCCAAGGACGCCTGCAATTTGACTTCGCTTCAGTCTGAAGTTGCCATCCGTTCAGGAAAAGGAGAATCGTTGTTATAAACTATAGAAAAAATTAGGCAGCTTTAAACAGTATTCAAGAAATTTCTTGAATGCATGGTATAATATGCTATGGTGTTCTATGATGTGGTATTGCATGCACGGTATGCCTTTATGGACTGATGTGAAAAGAGTCAGTCAACGTTCTGCCGAAAGTCGTGGGTTTTCTCCGGTTTCCTCCCATTCATAGGAAAGTTGACAGGGTTGGTTATAAAATAGTCTAATAATAATAGTAATAATAATACCACTCAGTTATTTAACGAGGATTAAAGTGCCTATATCATGGTTTTGGAGTTTGCATATCTTGAAAGTTTAGGGTATTTTAAGACACTTTGCAATATATTTTCTTATTGAAAAATTTCATCTTGATGGATTTATTAGCTCTTAAAGTTACGTACCGGACATGACGTCAAAAGGAGAATTGCAAATCAGTTTTCCTATTATCATTGGAACAAAATTTTCCTTTTGACGTCATGTCCGTTAACTTTAAGAGCTAATAAATCCATCAAGATGAAATTTTTCAATTACAAAATATATTGCAAAGTGTCTTGAAATACCCTAAACTTTCGAGATATGCAAACTCCAAAACCATGATATAGGCACTTTAACAGATAAAGCTACCACTTCTTTCCAATCTGGTCCTCTAAAATTACATTAATACATCATTTACGTGCAAAGATTACAGGCATTAACTGACATGCATTACAATCACACAATATTAAACATAGCTATACCTATCAACAAATATATCTATCGAATTAGTTATATTAGTTAAAAACTAAAATAATCTTTGAATATTTAGTTTAGTTGACCTGGCTAATTTGTTCTGATATTGTTCTTTACAGAACCTTAAAGGCTTTACGTGCATGAGGTGAGTTTCTAACAGTTTGTCTGGGCTAAGTCAGTAATTAAAGGTAAGCGTAATATACTTGATCTAAAGGGCATTAGATCATATCGACATGTAGCTTTGCGCCGTAGAAATATTTGATCGTGATTGTGTGCCTTGTGTGGTATGGTATTTATAGTCATGTTGATAATTAAGTCGACTGGGTTTTTTTCTTTTCTTTTTGAGCTGACCACGAACCCGGCACAGAACTGGTTACATATTACATTTATTACGGAGCTACACGAATGTGTTGTAATAATTTTGGCAATTCACAGTTACAAAATAGCACAAAATGAAGTAAAAATGTAATAGAAAATAATCCTTTTTCAAAAACTCACCAATAATTTCATCTTTAACCTTTATATCCAATTAATATCGTAATATTCTTTCTTGTCGTATATTAATCTCGACTGTTCTCGTATTGGTTTCTACCAAATATCTGACTCTTGTACAGAGTCGCTGCTTGCTTTATATACTGTACATTTTGAGCTGCCCTAAAAATACACATTGACACTTTGAACTGGCTCAGGCTGAAACGATTTCGCTGTAAGCGCGCACCGTGCTGTGTGCCTCGTTCCATGACGGAAGACCTAAACCTAACGTGTGAATATTTAACGAATTATTTCACCAACGGGAAGTTGATTGCGACGGCTAGAATTAATATTTCCTAACAGTGTTCCTTACAATTAGTAAAGTTTAGTTGATATATTTACACGAGTTTACGACTGAAAATCATGCTAACGTTCCTTACACGGTCGTACTGTGAGCTAACAAAGAGGTTTCCCTTGACAAATTTTCTTGGCATGACAGTATTATCGATATTTTATGCTAATAATTCGTATTTTTATGCCAATAATGTCATGTATCTCAAACTGGTTTATGGTTCAATATTTTTTATTATGGACATAAATTATAGCTATTTTTAGTCAATATTGTTTTGTAACTACTATTACCTATGTAATAGACCTTTCCCCTTATAACCAAAATTTTGATCTAGGCAAGTCTAGACAAATATTTCATTACAGCTTGAAAGAGCATCACAAAATTAGTAATATTCCAAAGTTTCGTTGCGAAATGTTGTAAAATGAGGAAAACAGAGCCCTGCCAAGTTTGCAATTTTCAGTCATTTTGCATTACAAACGGGAAATTGCAGTCCCAACACCCGAATCGTATGTCAATTTCCCGTTTGTAATACAAAATGACTGAAAAACGGCAAAATTCGCAAGGCTATATTATCCGCATTTTACAAGATTTTGCAACAAAACTTTGGAATATTACTAATTTTGTGATGCTCTTTCAAGCTGTGATGAAATTTTTGTCTAGATCGAAATTTTAGTTATAAGGAGAAAGGTCCATTGCACTGGCATTAAACACGAAAATAAATTGTTACTGTAACCAATTTGCCGTTTTCTGAATTGAAGCAAAAATTTCTAACGCTAATATATGCTAATTAATGCTGTATGGTTAATTACAACATGCTGCGCAAAGTGATTGCCGGAAGTCTGTGTGTTTCTAATGCGTGGTTATGAAAGTTTTAGTGACCATTTCGGGCCGTTTCTACTGCAAAGTTATTTTTAAAATTGTTTCATTCCTGGAAGGACACTAAAACGGATTTATCTATATGATTCGTTTTTCACGCCCACAATTTTTGTTGCGAATTTATTGAATCAATCAGGCTGGTTGCTGAAAGCTGGATTAGCGCCGAACTCTGGGTTAAAAATTTAACCTGCTGTTTTAGTTCGTGTATTTCTAAGGAAGTTAGTAAACAAGTTGCCTTAAAATTCCAAATTAACCTAGGGTTTAGCTAATCGGTTTTCGAACGCATTACACTCAATATAGAAACACCATAAAACTGCTATCTTTACATCAGTAACCTTGTTTCCATCTTTGTACACACGTAAAACGCACAAGTTGTAACAAACCTGCAACAGACTTGTATAGCAATGCTGTTCCAATAACTTGTCAACAGCCGGATAGTCGCACTGCTTGTTCCCAGCTTGTTGGCAACTTCCTACAAGGTTGTTGAGCTCAACAGACTTGTTACAAGCTGTTTCAACAACTTGTTATCGTCCTGCAATTCAACAATTTGTCAACATGTTGTGAGTGACAACCTTGTAACAACTTGTAAAGGTAACAGTGTTGTTACAACTTGTTGACATGCTAGCTGCAAGCCTGTTGTGAACACATATTGTTGACAAGTTGTGAGATTTTTACGTGTGTATATACTCTTCTATATCTTAGCCATTGAAACGTTGCGCCATATTTTGTTTGACATGCAGTAACCGAGTAAAGTAGTTTGAATTTCATCCATTCAAACATTAAACCTCGCAGGTGTGGTTTTATCATGCGTGAGGATTTTGGCAAGTGCACTAAAGAGCAACAAGCATTTTCACATTCAAAAACTGAGGAAACGTTATACGCTTGTGTTGTTTCTTAAAGGCCGATTCACTGCACAACACAACTTTTGCCTAAAACTGTCACATATATACTGATCACTCTGCCTATACGAGCTTGCTTGAGTTGTACGACAACGAGTCGCGGCTTGATTTACATGACAGTAGGCGAGCAGTCTGCTTGATTTACACAGCACAACTCAAGTTGTAAGCAGGTAGTTGCATGCGACAGTTTTACGGCGCAAACTTTGTGCAGTGTAGATCGGCTTTTGATGTGGGCAACGTCTTTGTAGACGCGTTATATGGGTTCTTTTGTTTTGCAAATACTACGAGTGAATATTGGCTACGACAATATAAAGTGTTGAACTTATATTAGTGTCAGACACTCCATTTAAAAACTTTCAATTTGTAGTGTTTTCGGATGCGGTACTTAATCGGGGCGTTCCTTTATTAATTAAATGGAACTTCATGATATTGTCGGTTTCGGTCAGTTTATATTTTGTAGTTGCTGTGCCTAGATGCAGTTTGTATTTAATATATAAAATGAGTGCCAGCAAAGAGCAGAAAGATTATCACATGCGCAAATTGAGAACGCATTACAAACTTATTGACAAGCATAACAGTGGATATATTTCTCACGAAGGTTTTCGTCAAATGGCTGAAAAACTGAAAGGATTCGCTCGCATGTTGCAACACGAAGAAAAGGCTCTCGCTGTAGATGTTGCCTTTCTAGCCGTGTCAGATGTTTTGAAGCTTAAAGAAGGAGTTAACTATGCCATTGAAGATCTTGTAAAATCCTCCAGTCAAACGCTCTTGTCTATGAGCAAAGAAGATGCGAAAACGATCACAAATAATGTTCATAATGCCATCTTCGATGTCGCTGACGCCAATGAAGATGGCTTCATTTCTCTAGAAGAGTACAAAGTTTATTTCTATATATTAGGCCATGATATCTCGGATGAAGAAATTACGCAGTCTTTCAATGCCATAGATAGCAACAAAGATGAAAAAATAAGTCGAGAGGAGTTTTTGGAAGCGGCATTTGATTATTTCATCAATGTTGATGAATCCGAAGTTGCCAAAGTCTTTCTTGGACATTTAGAGACATGATTGACACACATCTCTGATTATTTTAGCAACAAATTACATTGGCACCATGCACTTTCTGATATTAAACTATATGTTATAGATAAACTATTCTCGGATATTTTTTTACGAAAGGCCAAATAGCGAACCATTTTACAACAAAGTTAAAGAATTAATTTAGGACCTAAATTAAGAATTGTGATAATTGTTTCTCAGTTTACAAAAGGCCGATACCTTAGAAGCCAATAATTAATAATAGACGTCAATTGACTTTTTCCTGTCAGGTTAATACAAGTAATATGGTTTTGGGTTAAAGGTATAAGCATTTAGCTTTTCTAAGAATATTGTATGTGTACTGTTTACCTTGAAAATTTATTAAATAAACATAATTAAAAATTTAATGTATATAAGACTATTCTGAGTCCTAGTTGATTTCGTTCAATTTAAAATTTCCTTCAAACACTCCTCGTCTCCGAGTTAATGGGTATATTCAAGACTCACTCAAGACAAATTTTTTCGAGTAATTCGTTATGCATGCAAGCCACAAAACCACACGACAGTTTATTCTACGGTGGATCCCCATGTTTTATATCTCTTTTTCAGGTAGTTGAGTCACAAATAATAGCAGCACATTTGAATTAAAATACTACCCACACTAGTGGACCCACGCATTTGAGATATCATTTTCAGGTTGCTGAGTCACAAATAATAGTAGCATATATAACTACCCACACTGAACCCCCATGCATGCACGTTTGAGATATCTTTTTCAGGTAGCTGAGTCGCAAATAATGGTAGCATATTTTATTTAAAATACTGCCCACTCTGGACCACCACGTTTGATAACTCTTTTTCAGGTAGCTGAGTCGCAAGTATTGGGAGTTCACACACAAACCATACGACAGATTATTGTAGAATACCTCCTACACTGGCCCCCCACATTTGAGATATCTTTTTCAGGTACTTGAAACACACACAATGATAACTTATTGTAGAACACTACCTATACACTAGACCACCACGTTTGATATACCTTTTCACAGGTAGTTCAGACAGAAACCACGACAGCTTACTGTAGAATACTACCTACACTGGACCACCACGTTTGATATATCTTTTTCAGGTAGTTCAGACAAACACAATGATAACTTATTGCAGAATACTACCTACACTGACCCCCACGTTTGAGATATCTTAATTAAGTCACAATTCAAATTATTTTAATAAATTTATCTAAATTGAATATTCGGTGTTATTTAGACAGATGTTTTAATATGACGAAGTTATTTAGTATTGAACCATATAATTTCATCATCAGAAAAAGTGGCAAGCCTGGAAAGCATTAATAAATCTTAGCTTATAGTCATTGTGATAATTTTGTTAATTTACGAGCGTTTGTCACCGTGATACCAAGACAGAATTATTAATGAGTTTAATTACCATTCCCCTGCATGTAAAGAGGCAAATTAACTTACACCGATTCGGTGTGCGTTGCGTGAGCACTCAAACATTTAGAGGAATATATTCACCAATTTATTTGAGGTGTTACTTTGGGCTAGTCGTTTCTCCAAAAAGACTTGTAATGACTTCATAGTAAGCTATATGCGACTATATCTCTTGAAACAACTAAATAAGTCGATCTGATTTTATTTGAGGTTGATTTGTAAAACATACAAAAGCTATATATTCTTTACTGACTGCATGCATCCATGGTTGTATCGAACCAGAGATCGTAAAACAACCCAGGAAATATAGTAAATTAACACAAAGATGGCGCCCAGTGCGGACGTAATAAAGTCACATGGAAAGGAGGAATTATATTTGCATAAATATTTCTTTACTGTATAGCCGAATGAATAGCTATAGATGTAACTTTTATGTATTATAGTCCGGTTGTAAGCGGAAAAATACAGCTTGGTTGCGCTAAAACGTTCCAACCAGGATGTTGTATCGTCCGCCGAACACTTTCTGACCTAAACCCCATCTTTTAACGACAACTCTAAAATACGCTGTAACAGTGTTGTGAAACCAGAAATATTGTTCCGCTTTCTTTATGAAACACTGTGGAATTGCCTTTACATGACGTCAGGATAACGTTTTAGACTGATAAGGCTATCCAATGTGAACAAATGAAATAAAAATCATATTCCATCATATCATTTTGAAAATTCAATAGCAATATTTGAATAACAGAATAAGTCTAATAAAACTCGTCTTCTTATGATAAATTCCATGTTGAATCATGTTGCCCTTCTTAAGCCCACGCTTCCCCAACTCAATGTTGAACATGTGTCATGGTATGTTACCAAAAGTTGTTTCGGCATTGTTTACAACATTGAACTGGGGGGGGGGAGGCAAAGTGTGTTTTGTCAATGTTCAACTGAACTTTGTAAGATTGGCTGGAATAGTTTCAATGGTTTTGTCCAAGATTGTAGGCTTTTCTTACTGTATTTCCTAAAATTATTGACTGGCCGTCTACAGAGATATCGTGACGTGTTTGCTGAAATTGTTTCCATCGACCAACACTTTCATAAAAATACGCCTTTAGTTAGTAAATTTCAAAAAACTTTTTCAGATATTTCAGACACTGTATTCTACTTCAGTATAAAAATACTAACTATCATTTACGTCTATACTTTCAAAGTAACAACAACTGCAATCTTTATGTTTGTAATTAACTATGGGAAGTCTGGCTTGTTTGTTTATCGCCATGACAACACAATCACGATTACCATGCACTCACTGTTTCGACAAGAACCGGTCGCCATTTTGTTTTACGTTGTTGAATACCGCTAAATTGAGATTTTTGTGTTTGCAAATTGCTCTTCTTGTAGCGAAAACAGCAATAAAACTATTTGGTCGGGAAAATGTCAATAATAATGTATGGAAATGGTAATTTTGTAGTTCCCTTTTAGCTTATTTAGTTAACGTAATTAAATTGAATAATAATAATAAACTCGCCGCTAATTTGTTGAGTAAATATCAGGAGCTCAAAGTAAACTTGAACAATTGTACGAAACGATTCTCTTAATTTAACCAGTGGATTTCACAGTCGATTTTACAAAACTTTTCCCAAAATGTTCTGAACTTCGTATACCCAGTTCAAAAGTTCATATCAAACTCCCAAGACAGTTTGCAAACAAACCCTCTGATATTGGTCCCTGAATTAAAAGAAGCCAATCACATGCATAGTTTACATACCGGTGTGTAGTAATCTGATTATGAACTTTCGAATATTGGAATTGCAAAGTTTGGAAAATCCAGAGAAAAGTACTCGGACTGTAAATTCCAACCGATTCGATTCAGACTAGTGATAGTTTGTTTCTAGCAATTAATCGCGTACTTTTATAAAATGAAATTAGCCGCTAATTTATATGCGAGTAACATGTAAGCCATAATAAAATTCAATTAATAAATTAACACTGTCCGATAATTGCTAATACTATTTGAATTTCAATCCATTTAATCTTTTGCAAACTGTTTTGGGGGGTAACTGTATGCGTTATACAGATGTTTAACTCTGGTCCATATGGTCGTAATAATATCTAGAGTCACGATCTTTCTCAACGGCCAGTAACCACATATAAATCATATAAGTATTCTCTAGTTATAATCACTCCGCGTATTTTCAGTTCTAAAATGTTGTATTTCGGCTGCATGATGAGAAAGATCGTGATTCAATTTTTACGACCATAGATAGTTTACTATATTATACATGTACAACTGGATGGATCAGTCAAACTTGTTTGGAATGATTTTAATTAAAAATCTAAGTCAAAAGCAATCTCAGTGCATAGCTCCATTAAGGGACTATAATCTTATATTAGCATATCGAAAATTGATTTTTCTATCACTGCCTTGGAACATAGTTTCGAACCTAATTTAATTCCAACTATCACAAGACCGTTTTTAGCCGGCTTATCGGTATATTTTATTAATTGCTGTATTCAACAGTCAATATATTACAGTATACTTTTTGTATAATGGACAATAGCACACCATGAAATCCCACCATGCTGGCATGCATCGTAGTTTTTCGACTGCACAGGATGTTAAGCCAGGTACAGTATACTGACGATCGATGTGGTGTAATCAATTACGTCAGTTCTAGTTGAGATCTAAAAATATTTTAGCATACGGCTATATAAATGCATGCAGATTGCAGATTTGGCCATCAAAACTAAATCTCTCTGTGCAAACGTGACAGTCAAAAATTCCCACAAAGAAGAAACGTTTCAGAACATTGATTTGTGGTAAACCTTTGCTGTGAAAATGGTACGTAAATACTGTATATGTAGAGGCATTACAGTTAAGAAACTGACTATGTCATTTCTGTATTTTTTAATTGACGGTAACAGACTTGTTACAATTTAATTGTTCCAACAAGACGTAAGATGACTGTTCCCTTGACAATAATGTTGACATTCCGTCAACATTGTCAAGGGAAACTTGTTGACCGTTAAACTTGTCAAGGAAAAATTGTCTACTGTGTACGTGACTTAATAAAATATAAATCAGACTGTTGGAACAGCTTATGTTGCGAGTCTGTTGGCCTCATCAATCTTCTTACAAGATGATAACAACTTGTTCCAGACTTGTCAGCAACTTGGGGACAAGCAATGAGAACCGACATCTTGTTGACAAGCTGTGCGATTTTTACACGAGAGAGTTCCTCAACTTTTATTTCCCAGCGATTACACGAAAAAGATAGACTTAAAAGTTCAAATTTCATTGCTTGATCAAACGAAGACAACGAAAGTTTACAGAGAATAAGTTTTGTCAACTTTTATGTAACTTGATATAATCTTAAATTTTTTAACTTTGCTATATATTTGGCACGTATGCAAATAGCATACATAACTAGTTAATAGCTGGACATAACTAGCACATACACAAGAATAACAATAATAAACCAATATGTAAAAACGTACCAAAGATGAAGAAGCACAAACGAGACTAGGTCCCATGCATGATGCTCACCATTAGTTAGTCAGGACAGTACATACAAAACAACACATTAAGATAGAATAGAAAAAAGGACAGAGAAGGAAAGCAAGAAGCTGAAGTATACAGTAGATTAAGAAAGAGGAGGGAAAGAACGATTGATATATGGAAGTTATTATTCAGTCGTGATCAATGAGTGTGATCTTTCTCACGCCGCCATTTTTGGGTGACTTTTCAACCATAACAGCGATTATAATTTATAATTTTTTGGGCAAATAATGGTAAATTTGCTCTGTAAATGGTTAGTTTATTTTGAAATATTTCTTTTCACATTGTTTTAATTGTCTGCATTGGTTAACGAGAATTAGATGCCACCCAAAAATGGCGGATATTCGTCATCTCGAAAAAGGCTAATTGAATCAGCTGTATATTTAGATTTATCTCGAAAACCGCCAACTTGCCACTGTAGCTCAGTTGGTCAGAGCGCTGCACCGGAATCGTAGAGTTATAATTATTTATTAATAATTCTGTTTCCTTTTTATGTATAGAATCAACATATATCCTTTTATTTTATCGTGCTTTTTTGCCTGGTATCATTATGTTCAACTAAAACACCAAAGGGTCCCTCATGTAATTCGCCCCAGTCTATCTCGGTAACAAAACTCAAGAATCGTTATGTGTTTGTAAATACGACTGGCTTTCTGCCGAGAAAGGCCAACCTTGGTCACCACAGCGGTAGTCACTCAGGGAACAAATGGTGCCCGTGGACGTGGGCGACAGACGTAGACCACTCTCGCCTACCACCAAGAATGGCTTTTGCGAGATGTGATAATTGTAACGCCGCATGTATACCCATGTACATGCATCTTGATGTATTAAAATGGGCTTCTCAGTGTGACTCGAAAACCGGGGATAAATATCGTGAATGGTCGACAGTCAATCTTCCTATAGCTTATATTTATACAGGAAACATTTGAACTGAGAAATAATGACTTGGACCTAAATTAATCCATGCATTCTGTTCAACTTTATACTTTTAATATTACCAAACATTATTTTTATGCACAATTTTAGATTAGCATTTCCCTTGAAGAGTATAATTTTTGGGGGTTTTATATTCTGCACTATTAACAAGCACTTTTTAATACACTTGTCTTATATATAATTCATAGTTAATATATATGCGATATGTATCTTAAAGGGGATCTACAGTCCGATCTGCGCATGTGCACAAATTAGCCCACTTTTTATGATAGAAACAGTTTAACTATGTTTTGAGTTCTTGAAAAGACTGATTGTTGTTTCTTGATCATTTATTATACTCTAAAAGCTTGAAAATATAAATAGTTGTCGAATAAAGCTCGACATTTTGGACACAAAAATGTAAACAAAGGCTTTGTTTACATATGGACTGTAGATCACCTTTAATGATTCATATATATGAGAAAAGATGGCAAAAATTGACGTCCAATATAGCTATGAAAAATTTTTCTAACGAACCGTATCGCAAATGAAGTTATCAATTCATAAAGCCATAGTGTTATTCTTTAAATAGTACGTCAAAATACGAAATTTCAGCACACTCATTCAAGCTTCGTGCTAACCGCGCAGACAAAGTGATAGAAAGGGATTGGACCTGACCGTCTGATTATAGCTCTTCAATTTCCGCCATCTTGTTTTCACTTTTTGGACTTGCTCCAGTTATATATTGAGATCATTGGGGTTATCTCATTTGTTTTGTATCCATAAAAGAGTATCCATGAATCTATATATTAATTCGCATGCATGCATATACTTACTTATTTATTTATTTATTTAAAAGGCCATGGGCATAATAATTTCTTATTAATATAATTTATAAACATTATGAAAGCTTTATCTCACAGAATTAACGGTATTTTAAAAATATATTTGTTTGTAAAATTTATTTAAGCTATACTATAATTCTAGAAAAAAATAAAAAAGAATTGCACATTACAATGCAAGCTGTTCTCCGCTGTCAATCTCGTTCCCCGAGGCTGCGATCCTCGGGAAGGAACGTGAGGCTCTGGGATAATCCGTTTCAGGGAGGAATCTGATTGGCCGTTGAAATGGAATGCGTAGTTCAATCTTAGCCAGGATTCCTGGCTTCCGGCAACGGATTATCCCAGAGCTTCGCGTTTCTTCCCGAGGATCGCAGGCTCGGGGAACGAGATTGAGCAGTTGTGTAATTGTTCTTTTACCCAACCGCGCAGAAGCCCTGGGTACGAGGTTGACTACGAACTTACTTAATTTCGACACCTTCCGTGAGTCTATGACGTAGGCTACACCTTCCCCAATCGTAAAATTACCGCGCGGTCCCTAATATTTTTATTTTTCATCATTCGTATTACTTCTATTGGACTATACAGCAGGGCCTTTTTTAACATACAAGCTGGGGGGGGGGGGCATTTGCCCCCCCCGTCCCCTCTTGTGCCCCCCCCCCCACGAAATCACATTTCCCCCCCCCCAGGAAAAGTCCCTCTTTCCTAAATGTATACCAACAAAACAGCGAAGAATAACAAATAAATAAACGGAAAGTAAGTTTTAGGCTTTATCCTTTGTCCTTCAGTTTAACAAAATCGATTTAAATTGTTACGTTTTTCTACCACTAAGTAATGATAAATTATTGTTAATAATTTTTTATTTTTTGGTTGCCCAGAATGCAGGAAAGAGCATTTCCAGGTTTCAAATTTGAAAAATTTTCTGGAGATTATGCCTCCACACACGTGGCCTTCGGCCATTGGTATTTCCCTCTAATAAGTATAATGATAAATTACGGTTAATATTCTTTTTTACTTTTTGTGCATTTTTTCATTCTTTTATTTCAAATACAAGGATAGTTAGCATAAATTTTAGAGCAAATTTGGATGCTCAGAATGCAGGAAATTGCATTTCCGTGTTTCAAATTTCAAAAATTTTCTGGGGGAGTACATCCCCACACACGTGACCATTGGGATCCTCCTCTAATAAGTAATGATAAATTATGGTTAATATTTTTTTTAACTTTTTGTGGGTTTTTTCCTTCTTTTATTTCAAATACAAGTATAGTTAGTATACATTTTGGAGCGCATTTGGATGTTCAGAATGCAGGAAATGGCATTTCTGTGCTTCAAATTTCGAAAATTTTCTGGGGGAGTACACCCCTCATTCATGCGTGCATGGTATGTTCGGCGCACACGTGGCCTTCAGCCATTGCTATCTCCCTGTAATATATTATCTCACAGAAAGGTCCCTTTTTAAAAAATGCCCCCCCCCCCCCACGGGAAAATCCTTAAAAAAAGTCCTGCCATACAGTCAGAACATATACCTAGTGTGATGAAAAGTAATCAAACACGTATATCCAACCAATCTTAATTGTTCACTCCGTTATTCAAATATTACATTTTTAACAAAAAGTCCAGCTCATAAAAAGGCTACTGTATCTACATTGTTTTCATTAAAAAGAAGCATTATTGAATGTAAAACTCAAGAATTTTATGGGAACCACTGAGTCTTTTGATAAAATACAAAACAATAGATACTCCGAAGATTGAAAGCTTTCTGAAAATTTATTTCGACGTTTCGACTAAACTATATAGTCATCATCAGGAAATGAATGATGATGATATTACATATGTACAAGTATATATAGTGAAGTAACAAGATACGTTTAGTTAAATATTAATAGATCTTTAGAGGCTTTAGTTCCATGGTTTAGGGACGGTTTCATTCTATTAATAGCAATAGACTCTTGATAAAGTATCAACGACCAGTGATTGGATTTATCTATTATTTTAGTATTAGTAAATATTAAATCTGTTAGTGAACATTTAATGTTATTAACTTCATCATTAGGTGTTAGTTCGAGTAGGTTTATTACAAAATTGAATTCATTACAGCTAATAATATGGTTATATATTTCAGAAGAGTCAAGAGAAGAATGTTCTTTAATACGGGTATATGGGCAGCGATCAGTTTTTCCTACGTAGTTAGCATTACATCCAGGGCATTTGAATTCATGCATACACGACGGAGCTTTGATACGTTTTTGGTGTTGGGTCTTTAAGTGTGATGAAGCAATTAGTATCAGTAGTTTTCCAGTTGACGATAAATTTGCAAGGGGATTTCAGTATGTTTATATTTTCAGTATATTTGTATATTTATATATATATATATATATATATATATATATATATATATATATATATATATATATATATATATATATATATATATATATATATATATAATTTTTTTTTCAGTATATTTATATTTTCAGTATATATATTTTTTATATTTTCCTTTAAATTTTATGTACTCGCTTGCTTTTTTTAATTTCTGTTGAGATTGGCAGATTGCTATACAGGGTGTCCCAAAAAAACGAAAACTATTGAAATAAATGTATTGTTAGAATTTGAATGCCTCAGCACTCTGCTGAGTTTTGGCTTGACGTAAGTAAATTTTATGCATAAAGAAATCGTTATAATATTTCAGTAGATTCATTCAAAAAGCGTGAAATGTCTTTATCTATCTATCTATTGTTGTTGTCCACGTCGAAAGTAATAAAAAATAAATCTTTAAACCTATATATGTTTTTTTATATTTTAATAATCACATTTGTTGGGTAAACAAAGAATTCCCACATATTATCTACAGTATATGATTATTTCCGCATACTGCTGGACTCCGCTTCTATGTGTGACCTTGTTCAGGCCTCACACAGTCATAATAAGCAATTCCAGCTTTTAGTTTATGCGCGCAGGGGACGATGGGAAGTAAGGTATCACATTGCTGATTATGCTGAAAAAATAAAAATGGTGGTCGTGTAAACAAGGAGTGATAGCTTATACTTGTAAATATTGAAATTTTTCGGTTGTTTTAGTAGTTTTTATTGAAATTTTTGCATAATCAGCAATATGATACCTTACTTCCCATCATCCCCTGCAGGCATAAACTAAAAGCTGGAATTGCCTGTTGCATGGTTACAACTTGCATAGTTTGCATGTCAGTTGTGTGCAACGTCAATGTTGAATGATCGGAGAAGTATAGCTGCCATTTCCGATGCAGTGTGTATGTAAGGAAGTGTAATTCTCGTTTTTGTTTGGTAACATCGTTTCCTGTTACTTTGTTGTTTATGTGATAGTGGTCATTTAAAGGGTTGTCAATTTCATTGCGGGTCTCAAACGAGATGCCTAGGACAAGACTAAACATGCCCGTGAGTTTAAAGAAGCGTGGCATAGTTCAGACAAACAAACATTTAACCGTCACATTGACATCCCTACAATTTACTTACAACTAAAACGCTTGCACAAATCTTTTAAACCTCTAACCCACCCTCGACTTCCTTCCCTATACCTTCTCACGATAACAATATAATCACCCGCGTTCCATAGTAACCAATTGGCAGCCAACATAATGAAATCCATTAATCAATCAATCAATCAATCAGACGTTCCCGCAGCTCGATTCAACTATTAATCGTGCATATGGGGGGTAAATTACTCAAATATGATTGGCTAATGATGAGGGCATTTTTTCTTTATTCAGGGAAAATTACTTCTACATGATGATTCTTGTTTTAATTAGCATTATCCGCAACGACAAAGCGAGAAGCTTTGAACTTCTCGTGAAAACTCGAACACTGGAAAAAGTACAAATTTATGGGTTGGAGAATTTAAGAAATAGGCAGCATTAAGGAACATCGGCGAGACATCGAGCTCGAGGTTCAAGAACTTGACAATTTCACAATTTACTTACGAATAAATTTTGCCCTCTATGATTAACAAGTAATCACATAGTTTCTCGTAAAATTAAGGTTTATTTTCACTTGTGTTTTTAAAGTTTCACATAATAGGAAACTTTGAAAACACGCGTGAAATTAAACCTTAATTTTACTTGGGCTCATGCGATTACCTATACCAATCCTTCTCGGTTGAAGACTCGAAGTACCGAGTCGAAAGCTTTATTATAAATATAACGAATGATGAATAATTATTTATTTTGCCACTAATAAAAATTACATAATTATGTTTACAATCGTGTATGAGATTTAATTACATTTAATCAAATAAAAAGAGGATATCACACGGCGGCACGAAGATATGACTTTTATCTTCGAGTGGTGAAAACAATATTTTACGAACGAGCGCAGCGAGTGAGTAAAATATTGTTTTTAACACGAGTCCCAAGCAAAAAATTGTGAAATTTCACGCTCAGAAGCAAATTGGAAAAAGTCACGTGATCGATATCTTCACTAGTGAAGATATGGAAAATATCTCACTGTGTATTTTTCAGTATCTCACTCCCTAATATATAATAAAAGTAAATATTTTAAATTTATACTTTCAGTTTAGATACGAATTAATTTGAGATTGGAGCTTGAAATACACTCATGTCCAAGTTCAATAATTATTTAGAAGATGCTTTGTAAACAAAAGCGACTGGTAACTTCACCTGCGTCTTCACCCAAACAAATTCCCCGGTTTTCTTGTCACATTTTTTTTTTAGCGCCATATGCCAGTATTCTCTCGCTGTACAGTCAAATGAACATTGGCTGCATATTGCCGTTGGAATTTTCTGGGGGAGTCTATTCTGGTCTGTGTCCAACACGTATGTCCAGGGACATGTACGGTTATTTGTGTCGCCGGTCGGATTCTTGGGTCTTGTTGGAGAACCTTGGAATTTCTTAAAAAGATCATAGCGCTTTCGTAGGATTTGAACGGTTGGAGCACGTTCTGTCTGAGTGCGATTGCACTTTGATTGCGCTTCGGTTGGAAGTTGCCATCCGTTGAGGAAAAGGAGAATTGTTGTTATAAACTATAGAAAATAAAACATAAGCAGTTTTAAACAATATCCAAGAAATTTGTTGAATGGTATAATATGCTATGGTGTTGTATGATGTTGTATGATGTAGTATGGTGTAGTATTGTATGGGTATGTCGCTATGGAATTATGTGAAAAGAGTCAGCCAACGTTCGGGCGAATGTCGTGAGTTTTCTCCCAGTGCTCCGGTTTCTTCCCACAGGGAAAGTTGACAGGGTGGGTTTAGCATAAACAGTAACGTAATATCCCGATCAGGTTGTAAAGATAAAATGGTCTAATAACAATAATAACACTTTATTTAACCAGGATAAACAAATAAAGCTACCACTTTTTTCAATTTGGTCCTCTAAAATTACATTAATACATTATTTACATGCTAACATTATGGACATTAATATAACTGACATACATTACAATTGCACAATATTATACCTGTATCAACAAATATATCTATAGAATTAGTTAAAAACTAAAGTTCCAAAATAATCTTTGAATGTTTAGTTCAGTTGACCTGGCTAATTTATAATTTGTTCTGATATTGTTGAGGTGAGTTTCTAACAGTTTGTCTGGGCTAAGTCAGGTCATTTGATCATATCAACATCATCAACATGTAGATTTGCTCCATAGAAATATTTGATCGTAATTGTGTGCCTTGTGTGGTACTGGTATGGTATTATGTGTATGGTATTTATACTAGTCACGTTGATAATTAAGTCGACTGGGTTTTTTTCTTTTCGAGTTGACCATCGTAGCCGGCACAGAACTGGTTGCACTATTACATTTATTACGGAGCTACACGAATATGTTGTAATCATTTCGGTAACTCACAGTTATAAAATAGCACAAATGAAGTGAAAATGTAATAGAAAATAATCCTTTTTCAAAAACTCACCAATAAATTCATCTTTAACCTTTATATCCAATTAGAGTCGTAATATTCTTTCTTGTTCGTAATAGTCTCGATTGTTCGCGGACTGTGTTCTACCAAATCTGACTCTTGGACAAACTCGCTGCCTGTTTTTATACATTTTGAGCTGCGCTAAAAATACACTTAGTGAGTACTTTGAACCGGTACGGGCTGAAACGATTCTGTAAGCGCGCGCCGTGCTGTGTGCCTCGTTCGATTACGGAAGGCCTAAACCTAACGTGTGAATATTTAACGAGTTCATTCACCAACAGGAAGTTGATTGCGACACTAGAATTAATATTTTTTAACAATGTTCCTTCACAAGTAAACTTTAGTTTATATATTTGCATGCGTTTACGACTGATAAAGTCATGCTAACGTTCCTTACATGCTCGTACTGTGGGCTAACAAAGAGGTTTTCCTTGACAAATTTTCTTGGCATGATAGTATTGTAGTATTTTATGCTAATATTCGTATTTTTATGCTAATAATGTCATGTATCGAAAACTGGTTTGTGGTTCAATATTTTTTATTATGGACATAAAATTATAGCTATTTTTAGTCAATATATATAGTTTTGTAACTATTACCTATGTAATTGCAGTGGCATTAAACACGAAAATAAATTGTTACTGTAACTAATTTGCCATTTTCTGAATTGAAGCAAAAATTTCTAACGCTAGTGTAATGCTAATTAATTCTGCGTGGTTAATTACAACATGCTGCGCAAAGTCATTCGTAATCACACCATTCATCGAGCGATTTGTATGCCGGAAGTCTGTGTGTCTCTAGTGCGTGGTTATGAAAGTTTTAGTAACCATTTCAGGCCGTTTGTACTGCAAAGTTATTTTTAAAATGGTTTCATTCCTGGAGGAACATGAAAACGGATTTATCTATGATTCGTTTTTTACGCCCACAATTTTTGTTGCAATTTTTTGGGGAGCCTACGTTTTAGTTTCACAATCAGAGGACGCGGTTGTTCAAAACTGGAACAGCGCTAACCCAGTGTTGAAAGTTAAACCGCTGTTTTACTTCATGTATCTACACGTCTGTTTATTTCAGAGAAGAAAATTCCTTCTGATCCAAACAAGATTTCTGAAGAAATATTTTCAAATTTATAAACAAGTTGTTAGGAAGTTTGCCTAATTGAATTTTAAATTAACATGCGGTTAAATTAATCGGTTTTCGAACGCATTTCACTCAATATAGAACTGCTATCTTTACATCAGTAATCTTGTTTCCATCGTCGTACACACGTAAAACACACAAGTTGTAACAAACTTGCAACAGACTTGTAGCAATGCTGTTTCAACAACTTGCCAACAGGATATGTTCGCACTGCTTGTTCCCAGCTTGTTGGCAACTTCCTACAAGGTTGGTGAGATCAACAGACTTGTTACAAGCTGTTTCAACAACTTGTTATCGTCCTGCAATTTAACAATTTGTCAACAAGTTGTGAGTGACAACCTCAGTGTAGCAACTTGAAATAGTAACAGCGTTGTTACAACTTGTTGACAAGCTAGCTACAAGCCTGTTGTGCACAAATATTGTTGACAAGTTGTGAGATTTTCACGTGTGTATATACTCTTCTATATCTTAGCCAATGAAACGTCGCGCCAAATTTTGTTTGCCTATAGTTTGAATTTCATCCAGTCAAATATTAAACCTTCTAGGTGTGGTTTTATCATGCATGTGAGGATTTTGATAAGTGCACTCGTTAAAATGAACGTCACTAAGGAGCAAAACGCATTTTCACATTCAAAAAACTGAGGACATGTTACGACTTGTATTGTTTCTTAAAGGCCGATTCACACATGCACAACTGTTTCCTAAAACTGTCGCATACCACCTGCTTACAACTTGAGTTGTGCTCTGTAAATCAAGCACACGACTCGTTGTCGTCTGCGAGTTGAGTCAGGCTTGATTTACACAGTACAACTGAAAAGAGCAGAAAAATTGTCACATGCGCAAATTCAGAACGCATTACAAACTTATTGACAAGCAGAACACCGGATATATTTCCCACGAAGGTTTTCGTCAAATGGCTGAAAAATTGAAAGAATTCGCTCGCATGTACTATGCCATTGAAGATATTGTAAAGTCCTTCAGTCATACGCAGTTCAGTCTATGAGCAAAAAAGATGCGAAAACGATCACAGATAATGTTCATAATGCCATCTTCGATGTCGCTGATGCTAATCAAGATGACTTCATTTCTCTACAAGAGTACAAAGTTTATTTCCATATATTAGGCCATGATATCTCGGATGAAGAAATTACGCAATCTTTCAATGCTATAGATAGCAACAAAGATGAAAAAATAAGTCGAGAGGAGTTTTTGGAAGCGGCATGTGATTATTTCATCAATGTTGATGAATCCGAAGTTGCCAAAGTCTTTCTTGGACATTTAGAGACATAATTGACAAACATTTCTGATATATTTTAGCAACAAATAACATTGGCTTTATCACTTTCTGATACTAAACTCTATTAGATAAACTTTTCTGATATTTTTTTACAAAAGGCCATACAAGTGGCGAACTACGTACTTTACAACAAAATTGACGAATTAATTTAGGACTTAAGTTAATAATTGTTATAATTGTTTTTCAGCAGTTTACAAAAAAAAAGGACAATATACCTTAGAAGCCAATAATGTAATAATAGACGTTAATTGACTTTTTCCTGTCATGTTAATACAAGGAATATATATGGTCATGCGTTTAAGGTATAAGCATTTAACTTTATTGTAGAATACCGCCTACACTGAACCCCCACATTTGAGATATCTTTTTCAGGTAGTTCAGACATAAACCACGCCAGCTTATCACTATAGAATACCGCCTACACTGGACCACCACATTTGAGATATCTTTTTCAGGTAGTTCAGACACAAACCACGACAGCTTATTGTAGAATACTACCTACACTGGACACCCACATTTGAGATATCTTTTTCAGGTAGTTCAGACACAAACCACGACAGCTTATTGTAGAATACTATACCTACACTGGACACCCACATTTGAGATATCTTTTTCAGGCAGTTCAGACATAAACCACGGCAGCTTATTGTAGATTACCCCCTACGCTGGACCCCCATGCACATTTGAGATATCTGTTTCAGGGAGTTCAGACACAAACCACGGCAGCCTATTGTAGACTGGTACCCCCTACGCTGGATCCCCACAATTTGAGATATCTTTTCAGGTAGTTGAGACACGCACATTTTTAAAATAACTCATTGTGTATCTACACTGGCCCACCATGTACGTTTGAGACATCTTTTTCAGGTAGTTAAGTCAAATCTAAATTGAACATTCGGTGTTTTGAGTATTGACAGGCGCGGATCCAGACCGTGGCAAAAGTGGCTCGAGCCACGGTCAGATTTTTCCCACCTAAGATTTTCCGGGGTTCACCTTTGTTGGATACTACATTAGACTGCTTACGCATTTTTAAGAAGTATATATTAGTTATTTGAAATACAGCAAAATTGAGCAAATATAGGTCTATAGCAAACAATTTGAATATAATATCTTTCGTAATTGTTCTCATATTACAGTAATATATATGTGCTAAAAGCAGGAAAAACGTCCGAAATATATTCCTTGTTCAATAGTATAATTATCCAGTTAAACACTGAACTATAAAAACCGCCGAAAGCGTGCCGAATTGTGCCGAATATATTCGGAAAACAGTCGTAAATTCGAAGCTGCGATCACAGCCACAAAATGCCACGGTCAGCGTGCAAAAAATTGCGCAATTGTTACTAAATATAGTAACTTTCTGCCACGGTGCAGCGTTGCAAACCAATCACAGGGCAAGTTGTGGTCATGTGCGCCACGGTCTGCCACGGTGGCTCTGTTTTGATTGCGCAATACAAATGATCAACAATAAAGTTCGATACTTGTCGACTTGACGGGATAAAGAATAATACATCACAATCTACATGGATGCTATCAATGCTATCAGGATGGAAGCTTTTAAAAAAAGTCGATGTTCTTAGCAAGCTCGTCGAAATCTTTCAACAAGCAAACCTAAGCGAACATATTTCAGGGGAATTATCGCTCTTGAGGCAACAATATGAT